CGGGAAAACCCTCCTCCTGCACTTCGACAACCAATGGGAACTCCCGGGGAATCCCCGTGAGAACTAAAAATAGCGCGAGAACTCAAAATTAGCGCTAGAACTCAAAAGTAGCGGCAGAGGCGGATATTAACGCCTTGCCTGTCAATCAATACTGTTGGCAAAATGCCAGGGGCCATACAGGCTCGGCTGTGGCTCTCAGCACTTCCCCTCGGCCCGGAGCCCCTCCCAGCTCCTGGTCAGGAGCCTGCGTGGCGACCTAGGCTGCGGCTCCGCGGCACCTGCACCTCCCTAGACGGTGTTCCCACGTTTCAGCCACAGGAAGACAGAACGGGGTGCCCTGCAGGGTGCTCCTGCCGGCCAGCTTTGCCCTTCTTCACCCTTGTGGCCCCGAGCCCTGGAGGGCACCGCCGGGCCGGGTGGTCACCCGCGGCTGTTCTGATAGTCATACAGACGTCCATGGCGTTGACCGAGCTCTGGGTGGTGTCGAGACCTTTGAACTGGCCTCACTCTGTTTCCATCTGCGTCACCTGGCCCTGAGATGTGCCCAGCGGGTGGCTGCCCAGGCGCTGCCCTTAACTGCCCACCCACTCACTCCCTGTGGTGACACTCCCCTGCAGAAGGGCTGTGCCTCTCCAGGTCCAGGGTGGGAATCCGGCAAAGCATTGGATGCACACCAGGAGGATTTCCTACGAGCGAGCGAGCGCAGCCCCAGAGTGTGGGACCCTCCAGGGCACTTCCCAGATGGCAGCACCTTCCTGGGAGTGGGCCTCGCTCACAGGCCTGTGCAGCCGTGCCCACCTCGCACACCGCTGTCCCGGCTCCACATTTAATTGTGTTTTCTGAGCTTGGTGAGGCGACCGTCGCTGGGGCTGAGTTTTGACTGTTGGCTCCTGTGAATCGCTGACTCCCTCCTGGCTCATTAACTGTCTCACGTCTTCATTGTGGATCTGAACCGGGGTCTTGGTCAGATCTTGTACTGCCAGGAGCTGGCATCTCAGTGGCTCCAGGCCACGAGCCCTTCCTCCTGTCCAGGGTCAGAGGTCCCTCTGCGGCTGGACGTCCCTGGGTGACAGCAGGAAGCCAGACCAACAGGGAGACGGTGATCCTAGGGGGAAGGAGAGGGGCCGAGCAGGCAGGACAGGCCTGGCGCACAGAGAGCTCTGGGCTGCGTCCCCACGGGTCTGAGCTCCCAGCCCGAGCTGTGCTGCCCGCGGGTGTGGTCTCTGGGTGAGCCCGCTGGAGACGCAGACCCTCTGCTGCCAACCTCAGTGGGGAGCAAGTGCCAACCGGGTCATTAGTGTGGACGGTTCAGGCCAGGGGGGCAGAGAGGTGGGGACCCTCCCCAAATTCACATTCTCAGAGGCCAGCCAGGGGTCAGCTGTGCCAGCAGCCCAGGATGGCTCTCCTGCCTGGTCTGGTCKGGCATGGGCCTGAGGCACTTGCCTGCTGGAGTGGGGTGGGGTGATTTGGGGTCACTCCTGAAGGGGGACCCTGCCCAGGGCAGGTGCCCTCAGGTCAGACACCCTTGGTGTCCCAGAATGCATGGTTGTCCCTGGGCACCAGGCTTGGGGTGGTGCAGGCTTCACAGAGGGGCCTTGAGGGGGCAAGGGTGGGCGCACCTGGGGTGGCCCCGTGTGGGACGGCAGGAGGCGCTCACTGGACGACAGAACGGCTGGCGGAGTGTTCGTGGGAGACTTTATTGGGGCGTCCCACAGGCTCCCAGAGTGAGGGCCAGAGGGGGAGGCTCAGAGCCCGGGGAGCAGCCGGACCCAGCACGGGCAGCGGGGGCTCTTCGCAGGCCTGGGGTGGGAGGGCCGAGCGGCCAGCTGCAGGGGAGCCTTAGGCCACATGCAGCTTCCGGCCAGCAGGAACCGGATGGCCTTGCTGGGCTGCCGCCCACCTGGTAGTGCAGAGATGGCCATGGAGGGACTGGACAGTCAGTCCTTAAGGGATGGAGCTACCCAAACAGGAGTAGGAGGCAGGTGACCACCAGCCCCTGCAGGCTCAGGGGGGGACACGGGCAGCTGTCAGGGCCACTAGTACAGAAGCCTGGGTGCAGGAGGCAGCGGGCTCCCAACTCTGGGTGGCCCAGGGAGAGCACTCAGCAGCAGGACCTCTGGCCCAAGGAGACACCACAGCAGGCCGGGCGGGAGCAGGTGGGGCGGCAGAGCAGGGACACGCAGGAGGCCGGGCGGCAGCAGCTGGGCTGG